GCATAGTGCTTGCACCCCCTTATTGGAGTGCATTGCAAAGCTCACTTTGCGACTTGAAATTGCATCCCTCCCTTGCATCTTTTGAGAGGTTGCAAAATGTCTTTAACACGGGAGCAAAAGAAACTCTCTTCTTCACTGGCATAGTCTCTACAGACTTGGTTTCTTTGCTCTGAACTTACAAAATACAGAGGAGGAGTGGCTCAGATCTGTGCACCTTTGAACTGCCTCCTTGCGTTCTCGTGCACCGTTTTCGCCATTCCTGATGAAAGCCTTGCTCAATCATACGATATAGGGTCCCTGCCAAGGATCAGGACCGAGGACGGGGGAATTCCACGGTCGAGGATGGGGAACGAAGAGTGTGATCCCCGACTTCGCTCTGCCCCGTCGCCATTCCTACATCAGATGCGTTCATCTACGTGTGGTGGAACACATGTTATAGTTTGCATGATATTTCGTTTTGTTCGTTGCAATTAAAACTTTAAGATGTTATAATTTGTACTTTATACATCTATTCTTTTATGAAATTTAGAAAAAATTATAAATATATTTTTTAAAATTTGTTTAAAATACAGATTATCTCTTATAATTTGAAAAATTACATATATTTCTTTGTCAGGATTTTTTATTTAACAAAATTAATTAAAAAAAAATAGAATTCTTAACTAGTTCACTATACAATAAAAAAATTGGTTTTTTTTATCCAACTCCCTCACTAAAGGTTCTTAATAGTATAAGGACACAACAAAAATTGAGCAAGGTTGTGCTATCTAGTCTGGAGTTCTATTCAGACAAAACAATCAGGGGATTGGGAAATCCACGAGTTCGGATTCACTTTCATCCTTCTATTTGTTCTTGAACAGGTATCTAATCATATCCAAGCGTCTTAATAGGTAGGTTTAGATGTCAGTCAGAGTTGGACGGGCTGCAATACTCAGGATGAGAGACTCAATCAGATATTAGTTAACAACAATATTGCCACTTGTTTGGCTTGTTTAGTTTGTTTGGGTTTTAAGTTATTTTTTCTTTTCTTCTCGGGTCACTTTCCTTCTCAATCAAAAGTTACCCGCTTTGTTCAACTCAAGGCAAGACCTGCCCTTGCTTCTGCTTCAGTTTAGCCTTCCTTTTTCCCCGGAGCTTCATGGGCATTGCCTCATTCCCCAATCAGATATTTAGATGTGAGTTATACACCGCAAGAAGCCAACCGGGCTAATGGAACAAGTTAGTAAAATAGCTAAGCTCTTCCAAGGGAGATTCTAAAGGAATTATAGAAAAAAATGATAAAATTTATGACTACTCTCTTACAAAATAATAAAATTATAAGAATTGTTAATTGAAATATATTTCTAACATTATTAAAAATTATTAATTGACTTAATAAATATGACATTATTTTTGTCAAAATAGACCATCTATTTTCTTTGAGACAAAAAAATAAATAAATTACACTTATCAAGTTAACATAATTTTGTTCATGAATACATGAAAATCTTATAAAATAAACAGTTAGAATCAATAAAAAAAAGACCCCTTGATGAACCTAACAAGTCCACAATACTCTCTAATCTCTAATTTAAATTTAGATTAGAGAGAGAAAAAGTAACACGTTTTCTTTCACTTTCCTATATCTCATTAATCCATGTTAAGACTTTATTTAAATCATAAATTGGAATATAAATTTAACTTAAGAATTTATTCAAACACTGCTTAAAGGTGACTTAAGGATTAATCAATCTAACATACAGTAGACCTAATAGGGCCGACATTAAAAAAAAAAAAAAAAAACCGCCAGACGTGTTAATGTCCAATGTCTATATCTATATCTATATCTATATCGGTGACTTAGCCATCTAGCACACGTTAACGCCTAGTCTGAATTCATCAATAAGAAAAAGACTGTTGGGAGAGAAGAGTCCCAATCGTCATTCAATCCCATAATTATTTCTTGGAGAACACGAATAAACTTATGACAAACACATGAATAAAGGTCACATGTTCATATCTGTAAGTCTCTCTCCTCCGTTCTCTTGCTCCCCAAGAAAAAAAAGGTACACTCCAAGTAAAAGCATAACCGACCACTCAGCCCATTTTGCCTATAAATATCTGAGCTCCCAGCATTGTCACTCCTCACACAATATTCATTCACCAAGCAATCTTCAGAGATTTAGACAAACACTTGAACAACAAAGATGTCTGGGTGCGGCGAACATCATCATCCATTCTATCATGGTGTTCACAACTTAGGACACCACAGCCCCGGTGGACATCACGGAGGTGCAGCATGTCCTATCGAAGGGCATCACAGTCACAGCTGGGGACATCATATTCATCAACATTGTCATGGTGATCGCGGACATGGTGGCCACGGTGGTTGTCACCGTGGAGGACATCACGGTCATGGTAGGATACATCATGGTCACGGTGGTGGTGGCAGTCCTGGCAAAAGGCACCATTGCCATGGCAAACCTGGAGGTCACGGCAAGGAACATTATCATCATGTGGCCATTGTTGAGCATGTCAGTACCCCTGAAATTGCAACGACTAGTGGATAGATAGATTCTTCCTCTGTCAGTCATGAATTTTAGCAGTCCTCTGAATTGAAGAAATAAGAAGCAGCAGTGTGATCATGTATTATTAGATTTAAAGAAAAATAGATTTTCCTTTGGTTGTGCTGTGTATTGTGCTAAATATTGTACCAGCTTGAGTTGTTTCATTGTACTATACACCAAAATAAAAGGTGGACTGCAGTAATATATATAATTTTGAGCGTAAATTTATGTGGAGTGATGTTATACATATACAATTTTTAAATCCATACTTGCACAAACCGTTATTGGATTAACTCAAAAATTATTCGTACTTTAACATACTTAAAAGGAGCGTCTCAGTGCATGAACTTCCCGCTAAAGCAGGGTCTGTTAACAGGACATAAATTTAACATGCTTATATTAAACCAAATCAAACCAAACCAAACCAAGCTTTAAGTCTCATCAAATGGGGTCAGCTATATGAATTCTTCTTCACCACGCGGCTCTATCAAAGGCCATTTCGTTAGTCAAATTAAGTAGATTTATAAATCTATTCACTACGCTAGCCAACGTCAATCTAGGTCTACCCCGTCTCCTAATACTTCCATCTACCGTCACTGCATCGCATCTCTTCACTACTGCCTCTGTTGGTCTCCGTTGAATATGACCAAATCATCTCAATCTATTCTCTCTAAACTTATCTTCTATTGATGTTACTCCTACCCATTCCAGGATATATTCATTCCTAATTTTGTCTTTTAGTCTTACCGCACATCCACATTAGCATCTTCATCTCAGCAACACTTATCTTATCTACATGTTTCTTGGTTGCCCAACACTTCATTCCATACAACATCGTTGGTTTAACAGCCGTTCTGTAGAACTTTCCTTTTAGTCTAGTGGCTACTCATTTATCGCACACTACCCCAGACATACTTCTCCACTTAAGCCACCCCGCTTTAATTTTATGGACCACATTTTATCAATTTCTACTGTCGTTGTGATAATCAACCATAAATAGCGAAAATGTCCACTCTTAGGTAGTTCTTGATTCTCAATCTTCACTTCTCCTCTACTTTCATTGTTACTGTTACTAAATTTGCACTTTATATATTCTGTCTTAGTTCTACTTATCCGAAATTTCGGTGCTTCTCTCTAAATCTCCAAATTTGTGTTAACTCCTTTAGTCTCATCCACTAACACGATATCATCTGTAAAAAAAAAAAAAAAAAAAAAAAAAAACAATTTCTGATTCATGCTTCTTGAAACAAATTTTCTGCCTCAATGCAATTTAGAAAACAAAACCAAATCAAAATAAAACAAGAACAAAAACAATATCAAAAACAAAAAATACATTGTTTCCAGTAAGAGAATATTCAGTAACATCAGCTACTTCTAGTTCTATAGCACAAGGACAATTGCCAAAAAACACAGTTTGAATTAAGAAAACATGCAATCATACACCTTGAATGTAAACAAAACATGTAAACTAAGATCCCAACTTATTACAAACATTGTCCCTGGTGCAAACCCAAACATCCCAATTATAAACAAAAATGTTGTGGGTGGTATTTGTTGAGGTGGCCTATAGATGGCCTTTTTGGAAGAACGCGGGTACTGAGATGTCAAGGTAATCACCAGTGAGGGAGGAGGTGAGAGATCAAGAAGCCTTATAAGAGAGAAAGGAGGGCGGTGCAGAGGTCTTGCTGTATACCAGAGATGGTAAAGATGGTTGATAATGGCAGTGATGCTTCAACGTCTGCATAGAGGCCTTCTTATATAGGATGGTCAAACCATGGAGGCCAACTCACTCCTGGAGAGGTAGCTGACCCTCCTTGTTTCAACAAGAATGAGGTATCCCAACCACCTCTACATCCTAAGATCTAGGGATAGCAATTTAAACCCAGCCCGACGGGGACCCGCCTCCCCGATCCCGATTCGAGCGGTTTTTCTCTGAAAAATACTCTCGACGGGCGGGGGAGAGTATTTAAAAATGAATCCCCGATGACTTTCGGGCCGGGGATGGTAATACATTTCCCAACCCCGTCCCTGGCCCCGGCCCGGACCCCCGGCCCGACCACAACCCCGCTTCTCCCCGAAATAAAATTACTACTTTACCCCTGTGTATATATATATATATATGCATGTCTTTATGTTGGCACACACAATCACTTTGCTGCTGTTGGCGTGAGAAAAATGAAGTGAGAGGGAGGGAGGGAGGGAGCCAATCCTCCGCCGTCGCCCATCTCCTCCGCCGAGAGAAGAGAGCCGTCCTCTTCACAGCGCTGATCTCCTCTACCTACTCCTTCGCTGATCTCCTCCTCCGCCCTCCATCGCCGATCTCCTCCGCCGATCTCCTCTTCACAGCGCCGATCTCTATCCCTCTTTCTTTCTCTGTGTTATACACACACATATATATGTATATATATTATAGATTGAAACTCAGATCTTGAGATCTATAATGATGATAATATGTTTTTTTTTTTTTTTGGTGTTTTTTTTTTTTTTTTTTTTTTTTATCTGTTGTTGATGATGATACATGATGATGATGATCTGTTGGTGTTGATCTCTTTCTTTCTCCATGTTGATCTTCTTCTTTTTTATCCTCCAGCTTCAAAGCAGTTTTCTAAAAAAAAAAAAAAAATGGCCGGGGGTTGTTCAGGGTCGGGGAAACCCGATCCCCGTTAGGGGGCGGGGGCGGTGATGGGTTCCCCGCCAGGGATCGGAGGCGGGGACGGGGACATTTGTATCTTCGGGGATCAGGGACGGGGAGTGTGATCCCCGGCCCCGGCCCGGCCCGTTGCCATTCCTACTAAGATCAAATCTCGAGATTTGTATCATAAGAGCAACAATGTAGGCATGACGGGGGGCTTCAATGTTACATATGATACAATTTCCAAAATATCATGTCTTGATTAGAGCACCTGTCTCTCTAAGACTGATCAAGGTGCAAACACCCTCGAGGTATGGGGATGGGAAGGCACCAAAATGAATCCCTAACTCTAGCCTCTAAGCCACATACCTCCAATGATGCCCCAAGCAAAGATCCCAAGGCCTAACACTGAACTTAGGTCATCAAGGTATTGGATGATGGTGTTGGAGATGTCTTGATCAGTAGGAGACAGCTTTACAGAGAAAGAGGAGACGAGACATAGTAGGGTCACGGTCTAGCAGAGGACCCCTCAGTCAAGCCAAATGGGATACAGAGCCATGTTGCTACCGAGCACAGTTAGTCGAGCAGGGATGCCTCGAAATCTCGACACAATTATGTGGTGCTCTGGCCACGCCTTGGGATGCCCTATCTTGGTTCATCTTGTGGTGCCATGGCTAAAAGCTAAGGCATTGAGCATGTTAGCTAGCCAAGATAACATACTTGGTGGTTTCTATGCCCCTGCTTAAGCTAGACTCACAACCCCAATAGTTTATTTTGGACGATGACACGCACCAGTACGGATTGCCACTCGACAATCCCTTGTTTGAGTTGGAGATGATATGGTGCCAGTAAGGCCAACCACAAGGTGAAGGATATTCAGGTACAACAAATGTTAATTATCACCGTAATTTGAGTACATCTTGTGTTACTAAGAAGTGCCAATGGGAGGGTGCCTTGTATATGAGCAAGAAGCTCTTAATGCTCTGTAGATGTATACCAATGCTAAATGAGTGGTCTAAATAGTATAATACTAAGCACCAAGTTACCTGTATGCTTTGGCAGCATTCTTAAGCTCAGGACCTTCCAATATGTTTCTGGCACTCAAATGAACATCTGCAAAAGGCATATCAATGGTAAGAATGCCGTAATAACCTAAAGCAGTCAAGTCAGTAAAGAGCAAGGTCAGCTCAAATTCAATAAAGTGCAAGGTCAGATCAAAGTTCAACAAACAGGACGCCCAAATGTAACCCCAGCTATCACATATAACTTAAGTCAGCGACTCATTTAATGCTTCTATTGTGTCACCTTCTTGTCCTTACCTATTTAAACTTTTAAGCAAACCAAATGGTCATCTATAACTATATAGCCTCGCACATTTATTCAACTGCAAATATAATGCACTTCAATTTTCATTTTCCAGGCATGACTAAACCAAATACTCATTATGGACCACATAAATTATCCAAGCTTATTTAAAAGATACCATTGCTGAACTGAACCAAGGAATGGAATTTACAAAAATAGTCGTAAAACTAAGAAAGAGAACACTTACTATATTCCTTCAACACTCTTACAGATAGTGAGCTGAATCCACATCGGGGAAGATCAGGCACCCCTTTCATGTAAAGCATCACTGGGTTGTCCTTGACATCCTACGCTAAAAGCTAAAAGCAATTAATAAAAACAGACTCTTAACAAATAAACAACTTAATTTTTTTGCTTGATAATTAAAAGAAAGAATACTTGAGGCTCTGTATCTCTAATACAGAAGGTACAGATGACTCGTGTCTACCTGCTCTACAATATCCTTCAAAGAAAGGCCAGAACTCTCAAGCTTATTAGTGGGTCTGAAGTCCTTGTGTATGTCCGGATCATTTGGAACAGTAGTTGAGTATTGTATCCCATGGTGGTTAAAGGATCCAGCTGCCTACCAACAATTAAAGAAAAAATATTAGTGTCATTTATATGGCCGTCAAAATTTATTTTCTCTAAAGATAAAACCACACACTTGTGGCTTAAAATTTCAAGAAAATCCTTTTTTTTGGTTTTCTAAGTGGAGTTTAACAATGCAAGCATTTTTGTTTACAATTTTATGATTAAGGATCCAAGAAATCTAGAATCAGATGGCTATGTTATCCTAAGTAGTTTATTTGACTGTAAGTCCTTTGAAAATTAGAGAAACATGAATAGAAAAGAAACAATTCAAACAAAGGAAATCTTGGCCCAATAATCTTGATATTAGGGATTCAAGTCTCGAGGCAACCATTTTGTGCACTATGCCAAACGTTAGGTACGTTCTCAATCTTTCTCCTTCCAAACACACATTAATGTGTTCAATCAAAGGGAATCCATTGGTTTTGAAGCAAATAGAGAAATAGCCAAAAGGAAAATAAAATAAAATAAAATAAAAATTACCGTAAAACCAAAAAATAAAAAATTTAAAGGCATAGGAGGAAATGGAGGAGAACTGAATTAAGAAGAAAATGGACCATCAGTAGAATAATAGAGTCTCTTAACGTTTCAAGACAGATGATACCTGAGTTATGGGTAAAGAGAGCATTAGTGTCTTTCAGTGTTTCAGGGAACAAACACACACACACACTACATGTATAAGAAGATTGTATGATACATGTGGGATTAAGAAGATTATAACACTATATATATATATACCCTATATATATATGATGAATTTTATAAAAGAAAAATTTAATGTGTTAAGGCCCACCCTGATCACCACCTCCCTCTGCCCTTGTTGGGAACCCTTCCAATTGAGTTTCAACGGACCATTGGCACTCTTCAATATCTCTCTCACACTAAACCAAAAATCTCCTTTTCAGTAGATCAGGTCTCCCAATTTGTACATAGCCCAACTGATCTTCAATGGACAATGGTCAACAACATATTTTATGTTATCTAAAATTATCCAATGAATTAGATTTATTTCTTAGCCATTTCAACTCTCTTTCTCCATAATGTTTCCCGGATGGCTATTGGGGTGGGTGCCTAGATGACCGCTGCTCAACCCATCATTCTCAGTCCCAAGTTTACTCTCTCGGGCCATCAAAAAGCAAAATATTGAATCTAAATATTGAGGCCTCGGAAATGCTTATTGCTATATTAGTGTGGACGGTGGATACAAGACCCACTGAGCTTTGTGGGTGTGTGTTACATATCAGAATCCATAACTTTATCAAACAATTTGTAGAGTCTAATAATATCAGATCATATTGTTGTAGCTATGCGAGATTTCCAGGAAATTATCCTTCAGTTTCTTTCTTTTAATAACATAATTGAATGTTTATATTAGAATCAGATAATCGCAGTATCTCTAGATCAAATCAATCAATCATTTAAACCAAATTGACTACCGGAAAAAGCAATTAACAGCAAAATAAACTTTAAACAAAGCCCTAACTAACCTTTGTACCGTAATTGGAAGCGACGGAGCGAGAATAGAGTATGGTGGATGGCCGAAACGGCGACGGAGACCGCCAGGGAGAAGAGATGTTGGCGGCGGCGGCGAAGAAGCGGTGGAGCTGTGTAGAGAGTCTTCTCCACATGGCTTTAGCTTTGGTTTTGGACTATGGTTATGGAGTATTGGTTTCTCTGATCTGAAGTAGGGATTGTGTCGACTCGCTCGTGTGAACGAGTATTTACGGTGCCCTGGTCACGCCTCGCCCTCCCGCCCCCTCCCTCCAACGTCGAGTTTGTACTCTCGCGCACAATCTTTTAGTAGTACACTTGCTAAAAATTTAAAGTTTCGACACTTAAACAAATTAATTTAGGTTGTTTTGCGAGGTGATTTATAATCCACTTATCGGATTATAATTTACCTTTTTTTTTTATAAAAGGTTGATTATAATTAGTTTGTAATCAACTTCTAACAAAAAAAATTTATTATAAGTATCTTTTCAAAATAGTTTTCAAACTTCAAAAATTTTAAATTGCCATTAATTTAAAATTTTCATCCATTTCCATTATCTACTTGAATTTAATAAATTTTTAAACATATATTCACCCTTGCTTTTTTCACTTCACATATATTTTAAATTTAAATTTAATCGCACAATATTACCATTGCTATTTATTCACTATCCATCAAACTAAATGTCCATTATGATCCTCCCAAGAACTTGAGCACAAATCCTTCCTGTATTTTCATTCCCCTTTTAACTATCATTACCCCTATCTTTATGATCACTACCATTTTTTTTTTGCCCTCTCACGACCTACCCCTGTTGAAAAAAAATAATTTTTTGGTGACTTTAATTTAATATTTAAGTGTAGTGACTTTAATTAAATATTAAAATGAGTCTCAACCATTTATTTGAGTCTCAACCATTTATTATGTTGGGTCCAAGTGGGCCAAAAAATTATTGAGAATTGAATAAGAAATTGTCAAGAAATTGCCTTGAAATTGCCTCATGATGTTAGATTCATGAATGAGATTTTAAGGGTATTTAAATCCTTTTTCTTAATGTAATTTAAAAAAATTATTGAATTTTTTTAAAAAACAACAAAGAGTTTTGCAATTGTTAGAAACTTAAAAAAAAATTTACTCCCAAAAAAATTATATTTACTTTCACTCCTTGCAAAGCCTGATAAATTCTTACAAAAAAAATTTCATTATCTTTCGAATTTCATTATTTACGTGTCAATAAAATTTCATTATCTTTCAAATAGTGAAATTTCAAAATGAAGGCTAAACAATGCAAAATTAAGGGACAATACTAAAAATTAAAAAAAAAAAAAGTTACTTAATTTTATTTTAAGGATTAAAATTCCAAATTGGGGACTACAAAATTCTAAAACTCTATCATTATGTTCAGACATTATCATTTTTCAAGGAAAAAAAAAAACAATAAAACAAATTACACTCTCTTTGCAGCAACATCAAAGACAACAGTGACTTTTTGACAAATGAGGGGTGATGGAGAGAATCTAACATCGTTTTTAACGGTGATAAGGTCGAACAAAAATCTAACATCTTTGGACATTTGTTTTGTCTCTCTCATCATCTTTTTTAAGAAATCAAAAACATTTTTTATTTAATTTTTTTCACTTAAACAAGAAATCATAAATTTATCTTCTTTTTTTTTTTGGGGCTTGCCATACCAAATGGAGCCTAGACAAAATATTTTATGAATTAAAATTGTGTAAATTATAGCAAATCCTATTAATTTGACATAATTATAGCAAATTCTTTTATGATTTTAAATTATAACAATTAGTTTATTTTTCATCAGTAGGTAATTAGTTATATAAATAAAATAATATTATTATCTCTTTTATACTAAAAAGTATATTTATATTGTTAATTTTTGTATTTTATACAATTTGCATTAGTTTTTAAATCCTAGTGTAATCTTAATAACCTAAGATCGTCGCCAATAAAATAACTAAAAATGTGTGTTGAAGTGTACACATGGCAAAGTAGGTCTCATTTAGCTTGTAAACATGTGGCTAAATTTAGTGATTGTGTGTGCTCAACAATGGACATGTTAATTACTCATCAACTAAACTATTAATTAGTGTCAACACTAACCAAACTTTTATAAAAAAACTCATGTCGACACTTAGGGATGGTCATTTTCTCCCGCTTCGTTCCATCCCCGCACGGGTTTTTCTCACCCTAATGAGGAAGCAAAACGAGAATGGATTTTGCTTCCCCCACCCCGTTTTACCTGACCCCACCCTGATTAAATTTAATTAATATATTTATATAATAGTTTTTGCATTATGATAAAATTAAAACACTAAGATATTATACTTAATATTAATTTTTACACATTTATTTTTTTATCTAATATCTTACAGTTCTCATTAAGCATAAATTATTATCCGTAATATATCATATTATCTAAAATTTTATTAATATTATCATTCTTCAACTTACAAAATTATTACGTCTCCCGCTCTACTCTCGACATATCTGATTTTGTCCAGCGCTCGATATGATATGGAAGTGAGCGAATTAGTACAAACTTTGTTTTTTTTTTTTTTTTTTTTTTTTTTTTGTAATTTATTATTTTTACTTAATTTCGGGTCAATTTTTTTTTAAAATTTATAACAAAAAAAAGTTATAAAATTCTACTTTTGGGAAAGTCAAGAAAAAACGCCACGTTCAGATCAGAAAATGTTTTCTCATTTTTAATGAACTCTTTTATTTTTTATTTTTTGCTTTCTAAGGTCTTCTAGAACTTCATCTTTTTTTAGATTGGAGATCTTTTAAAACTTAAAAAGTGAAAAAGTAACAAATATTTGCAAAAAGTTCGTTAAAATACTTACTTGAAAGTGATTCATGAAGGACTTTTTGTATAACTTGTCACATAATTAAAATATAAAATAAAAAAAATCAATAAATAAGTAATTAAAAAATAATATAAAATCAATAAGTAATGTTAATTAACTTACAAGCACTCGTAACATGACCACTAATAGAATATATTTTAGCCTAAAAGTTTGACAAGACAATAATTGTTGGTATTTTTTTTATAAAAATATAAGAAAAATATATCAAATAAATTAAATAGAAATAAAAAAAACAATTTTTTTTCCTCCTTAAAGAATGAAATACAGAATAAAATACACAATTAAAAATACATAAATAAATTAGATTACATTACTAATAGAACAAATTATTAATATGGATAACTAAAGATTAGAACTTATCGGGATAAACTAAATTCTAAAAAATTTAAGAACAAATGATAAGAAAAAAAGCAAACTGAAACCTATGTGATACAACAGTTTCCTAAAAACAGATTCACCAACTCCCGATGGGTGCTGGAGGTACGCCGGCGTCTGTCTCCTAGGATATGACGGTCAAAACCAGCTACGGCAGAAACACTATCTGTCTAGCTTAGCGAACAAAACAATGGCAGCACTCTCTCACAATAGGAACTATCAAGCAAACTGACTTGTAAAATGGAAGCAAAAATTTCTATATTGAAACTTGACAGGAGGGTCTCAATTTATACATGTATAGGGGAGAGAGGAAAAGCTTCCAGCCTTTAAGGCTAGTCATTAAAACACCAAGCATCCATAGCCCCTTTCCACAAAATGAAAAGTATGGATGCCCAAAGGATTCACACCCTTTAGCCAAGAAAACAGATTTAAATACTCTTTAAAATTCTATTCATGAATCTAACATCATGAAGCAATTTCTTGGCAATTTCTTATTCAAAACCCAATGGTTTTTGGCTCACTTCAAAAAATGGTTAGGATTCACTTTAATATTTAATTAAAGTCACCACACTTTAATATTAAATTAAAGTCCCCAAAAATCATTTTTTCCAACAATCCCCCACATTAATAAAAATTGACCGAATGACTTAACAAACGGACATCGTTCAACAATAAAGACTCTGAGAGAGAGTACAACGGACTAACCCCGACATCAGAGAAGGTAGCTTTTGGCTTTGAACCTCTCCCAGTGAAAACCTATCGAGTTTACTGGCTGATCAGTGAATAAGACATATTGAACTGCTCTGCCGTTTATGTAAACTGAGATAATAGATCTCACACGGAAATTACTCCTACCACCATTATGTTCTCACTGGTGTGCCTTGTGTGGCCCTGGACACAAGCCTGGTTCAGCGAGTGGTTTCAAAGAATCTTGGCCTGCCCAATTCTTCTAGAAATGGGCCCACTTCAAACTCACATAGGTGACTCTACTAAAGTATCCTGCAATACTTAGCTCAACAGCTTAACACATAAGAGTCATTAAAAGCTCAACTTATCCTCTACACTTGCAGGTATCACTAATAGAAGGAATGGCTGGAGGTTAACCTCCTCAGTGACATACCACCGTTACACACAATTAGGTTGTCCCATTGAACCTAGATCTTGGAATCTCCAGTCAACTAGGTTGGGTTCCATTCCGGTAACTTCCAAAGGCCTTAACCCCATTCCTTTTGACGACGTTTCGACTAACACTCGACTTAACCCTTTGGTTAGCGGATCCGCAATGTTGTCCTTAGACTCTACGTAGTCTAAAGAGACAACTCCATTCGAGAGTAGTTGTCGTATGGAATTATGTCTACGACGGATATGTCTAGACTTTCCATTATACATATTACTCTGTGCCCTACCAATTGCAGATTGACAATCACAATGAATACAAATAGCTGGCACAGGTTTAGACCAACGTGGAATATCTTCAATGAAATGGCGAAGCCATTCTGCTTCGTCCGTTGCTTTATCTAAAGCAATAAACTCTGATTCCATCGTTGATCTAGATATACACGTTTGCTTGGAAGATTTCCAAGACACGGCTGCCCCCACCAAGAGTGAACACATATCCACTAGTGGACTTTGAGTCCTTTATATCTGATATCCAATTCGCGTCACTATATCCTTCAAGCACCGCTGGATATCGAGTATAATGCAGCCCATAATCCTAAGTGTAGCATAAATACCTTAACACCCGCACAATGCCCTTCCAATGAGAAGCATCAGGATTACTTATGTATCTACTAAGCCTGCTAACCGAGTAAGCTATATCTGGCCTAGTACAACTCATCAGATACATTAAACTTTCAATTACCCGAGAATATTCTAACTAAGAGACACTCTCTTTATTATTCTTGGTAAAGTGTAGACTTAAGTCTACAGGTGGCGAAGACACACTCGTATCTAATCCACTAAACTTCTCAAGTATCTTATCAACATAATGAGACTGAGAAAGTACAATTCTGCCAAAGATTCTGGTAATCTTAATTCCCAGAATA